TACCAGAGGGCTGAAGCTGTGGTGAGGAGAACAATAAGACAAGTAAAGAGAGGAAGTTGGCAAAGATTTTGCTGTAAGATTGGAAGGTCAACTGTGATAGGCGCAGTGTGGAGTATGATTAAGAGAGTGGGGTTCACAGCAGGAAATGGAGGTATCCAGTGTTAGAATCAGAAGGACAGGTAGCAGTTACAGACAGGGGCTAATTTGGAAAACATGGTCAAAGCATTTATTCAAATACATGTTTCAGGAAATTTGACTGAGGAAGGGAGAAGAAACATTTAAGATCATTGGAAAGGAGCAGGACTACAGAGGACCAATCAACTATCCGTTCACTCTAGATGAAATGGAAAGAGCTATTTGTAAATCAGGCCATACATCTCCAGGGAAGGAGCAGATATGTTACATAATGTTGAGACATCTTGGTAATGGGGCATTAAGGAAACTTTTGGCTCTTTATAAAAGAGTGTGGAGGAGGGAGGGCTGCCCAAGGCTCGGGAGAAGGCTATAATGATTCCTATAAGGAAGTCTGGAAAGGATCCATCCTCTAATTATAGGCCGATAGCTCTTACATCAAATATTTCTGTAATCATTGAGAGCATGGTAATTGAACTGTTGCCATATTTTGCAGAAAAGAGGAATATTGTCATATCATCAAACTGAGTTTAGGAAAAGAAGAGGAATTCTGGAACATACAGTTTGTTTGATTAGAAAAACTCAGATTATTGATTATTAAGTTTTTGTTGTTTTATTTTCTGATGGTGATGAAGCAAATGATATGACGTGGAAAGAGGAACTTTTAATGAAGTTAAAGTTGATGGGTGTTGGAGGAAGGATGTCATGATACCAGGAATTAGGTAGTCGGTACCAATTCCGATGAAATTCCAAAATTCTTGCTTCCAAATTTGAAAAAAAAACAGAAAACAACAGAGATGGCTGAACACACAGTGTGTCAACACACGCATATATGCATGCGCACACACATGCACACACCTCCATATGGTCAGTGTGCAAGCAGGTCAGACTGTGACCATGTGACACTATGAATGACTTGGTTCAGTTTTTTATAGAAGCAGTTTCCTCACAGTTCTCTCTACATACTGTAGACTGTTACACTGGGGAGTCCGAAAAGAACTGCTTCTGATTAAATCTTTTAAGATGATTAACTTGTTACAGCCAGGTCTTTGGTTTGGACTTGCGTCACAGTGATGGGCTCAGTGTACTGTAGATGATGAAACACTGTAATGTATAAAACACAATTTCATGAACAGAGACCTTCAGCGTAGACTATAGGGCCAAAAACATATAGATGGACCAAATACTGTTGTCCTTTAGCTGTTTGTTGGGGGTTTGGTCAAGAACCCTTAAGTCCAATTAATGGACATCTTAATTATAAGGATCTGCTTGCAACTTCCAACCGGTCTAACCGACATGACAAAACACTAAACTTAAGCCTTTAATTGTGTGTAATATGGAGCGTAAACTCCTTTTCATGCCACATTTCTAGAGATATTACCGAGGTCCTTTGTGTCCTCAGCAGCAGATACCGCCCTGATGACAATGCCCCTGCGCAGAGGTTTTCATGGACAGGATATAAAATGTAGCACTGCACAGTGAAGTATGGCACATGCAGAACTCTAAAACAAGTACATGAAAGAGCAAAAACACCTCAAAAAGGGAAGGGTGTTATGAATTCAAATGAAAACCGTGGATGTTTCTCAACCAGCTTTAGTTACAGTGTGTGTGTGCATGTGTGTGCGTGTGTGTGTGTGTGTGTGTGTGTGTGTGTGCATGTGTCTTCTCAGAGGGGTGTCTGAAAAACATGACAGGTTGATGGCTGACCAGGGCAGGGAAGGGTCCAAGTTGTTACAGTATCCCAGTCTCTATTAGATTTAATCTCAGTCAGGGGGCCAAACACTGATGTCACTGTTGACTTTTATTCAGCAGAGCCAAGCCAACATCTATCCACTCTGCGATTTCACTGAGATCACACACACATTACAGCAAAGAAAAAGTGTGTGTGACTCCAGACTTAAATGAAGAATATGGTGTGAGTAATAAGACATGCTTTTTCACTGTAATCCACTCATCCTTTCATCACTCATCATTTCAACACACACATGCTCACCACACACTCCCTTTCCATCATCATATCTCACCCTGATAAGAGTCTCATAGTTTAAGAAGAAATCCACCCACTGGATTTCTCCACTGCAGTTAACTCACTTTAGGGTCATCTGGCCCACATACCGCCTCACAATGTACCACAGTGAACAGCACTGTGAGGAATGCCACCTTCCTCGGCCCATAAAAACACCCCAAACCCAACCTGCCCCTCGTGTGCTGAGCTCAGTGCTGTTTGTCTGGCCTTGTTATCTTCAGACCAGCAGAGTTTTAATGGACATAAAAGGCTTTTGGGTTCAGTTTAGCTGGCCGTTTGTTTTGACAGGCACATCCAAGGCAGTTATCTCCGAGTGCGTGTGGCCCTTTGTTACCTGTTGTGCCGAACTCAAGACTCTTTGTTGATGAGGAAATATTGGCTGCCATACTGTGAGTGAAAAGTAAACTATCTGGTACAGTGGCGGAGGTGCAACCCCCCCCCTCCTCTTCCTCTATGAACCAGCCTCCTCTGATCCGGTATCAAGACAGTGTTAAAGCTGAAAAAAGCAAAAGTTATATTTCAAATGGGTCCAATACACAGAAATTAAAGCTGCACTAATCAATATAAATAAAACAATTGATCAAACGACTATGTGCAAGTGAAAGCAGTCAAATGTCAGACAACAGATTCTGCTCTCATCAATATTGATGTTGCAAGCAACTACTGATAAAACCCAGTGGATGCTAACTCTAGCACGTAACGACAGACAGGCAACATTAGTTAGCTGGTAAACATAGTGCAGCATTGAACAGGTAAAGGGCTCAGGATCTGGGTGGGGATGGAGTTAAAAGGGGACTGAAAAAAAGCCATTACAAATTTATATGGTAATGATATGTCAGTGTTAATGATCATTCCATTGCATGTTAGTCAGGGTGAAGTTTGCAGCAGGTTATTCAACATAAAGAATAAAACAGGTCATTTGCCATTGCTTTCCAAAAAGCATAAGGGCCTTATATAAAAATGATCTGTGTTAGTGCTCTCTAATGTGCCACCACTCTCCTTAAGGTGTGGTTAAGTTTAGGCAACTATCGTTAAGAATATGGTCATTGGTTAAATGAATCAATATTAACTGTTAGTAGGAGACTCAATATGACACTTTTTCTTACCACTCCTGACACTTTTACACTCTTTACTCTTTTAATACATTTTCTATCACAAGGACACTTGAGACAATGAATTATGAAAAATAAATGGATTCATACTTCATATACACTTACTCTTCCTCAGTGGGACTTTTACATGAGGATGATGCAGTGAGGCAATAAAAAGCCATACAGTGCAGAGCCTTGTTACCCTGCAACATACCACAGAAAATCCGTGATTAATCAACTACACAGGAAAATAAAGTGCCCCACATGCACACAACACACACACACACACACACACACACACACACACACACACACACACATATGTTCCATCCAGGACTATCAGTTACAGAAACATACTGTAGCTTAGTCTAACTACTTTCAAAATGATGAGATGAGACTCTGGACTTCAAATCAGACATCGTCCTTTACTGATTGATAAAGGGGTTTACATGTTAGCTCATAATAATGAAGGGTAACAACTTGGCTGCTTACACCAAGAACTAGCTAGTTTCTCAAATCATTGCCTTTTTTTCGCCCCCAGGCATTATTACGAAATAATGAAGTCCCTTTATATGCAACAAAAGGCTTTTGGGCTCTAAATTAAATTCTGTACTTATTACTTCACAAATCAAATATTCAAATGGAATGTATTGTCTTTGAACTCAATATTCCCCACATTAACTGTTTTACAATTATCAACTTAAACAATCTTTATAAAATAAAGTTTCATCAAATAAAAGTCAGCACACATTATGGTGATTATCCTTATACAAGATCAGCCATTCTGTGGTTCTCCTTGAACGGGTGGAACTGAAAGGTGACCCAGGTCATTATTCTTTCTCTCCACACTGTTCCCTCCCTCAGTCTCATGTTCCTCACTGAAAAAGTGCAATCGTGAAGAAAAAAAAAAGTGTAACGCAGCACTGGGTAGCCTCAGTCTGACTCCCCCTTAATAATCTCTACCTCTCCTCTCTCTCTCCCCCCCCTCCTCCTTTTCCTCTCCTGATGGCAGATGGGATGTTGAACTCAGACTGGCTCTTGCTTCCCCCTTGGGAGAGAGGGTTGGGGGTGTGTGGCTTATGCTAATGGGGTGGAAGCTAGCCTCTCTCTCTCTCTTTACATATCTCTTTCCTTTTCTCCTGTATGTGGCTTCTCTAAGTGTAATTAAAACTAGTTATGACCAATCTGAAGCTACAGGGGGCGAATTCATGTTGATAGAGCAAACTCTTGCAACGTTGCAGAGGTTTTTCAAAAGACTCAGTGTAGTAGTAGTGTTTATTTTTCAAATGATACTAATCTATTAGTGTTATGAATAATAATATTAAATATAGGTCTATATTAAGGTCTTATAAACTACATCATTTTTGATAGAGTAGGTGAGCACTTGATATAGTAATAAACACTGAAAACTGAAAAGTACAAAAAAAAAAACAAAGCAAAAATAACATCCCGTCATGCCAAGATGCAAAAATTAGTTGAATCTGAATAGTTAAGGTATTTGAAACCAAATCAAGTATAATTCAACAGTCTAACGCGTTTATGTCCGTTAAAAAAGTGATAACTCCATAATCCGGGGAGGGAAATTGCTTTTTTCCGACATTCTTTAAACACAGCATAACTATCCATGCAGGCAGTTTAAGGGAGAGAGAGCGGGTGGGATAGAGAGACATTTGGAGAAGGGAAAGTAAGGAGGAGGAGACAGATCCGGAGAAAAAGTTTGAAAGAAAAGGAGAGACGTTCCAGTGGTCGGCTTGGTAGAAAGGGAATAAGCGGAGGTTGAAACAGGAGACAGAAAACGTCTCAAAGTCGGTGTGTGGGGATTTTACTTCTTCCGAGGAGCTGTTGGGCACGCGCCTGCTCCTGTGTGCGTTGTCGGGCGGATTAGATGAGGATCACTTCACGATGAGGAGCGACCCTGTTCTGTTCACGACCAGTAGGGGTGAGTGGCTCAACCTGCGGCTTTTTTCTGACCACGAAAAATCACTGTTCCGTTCTTCATTTACAGGAATAGAGTTTACAGTGAATTTATTGTTCTGTATCACACAGAGCATCCCTTTAATAATTATGGAAGTTTGGTTTTTCATGAGCTGCTAGCACAGTTTGCAGTGGCAGTTTGTTGCCGATATTTCCATCTCGCTTGCTAGGCTATTAGTCGATAGTTGGTTTGGTATTCCTGTAATATGAATGTACTTGAAGTTTGTTTTTGTTCATGTTAACATTTAGACATAATAATTTTTCTCTGGTGGATTGTCCGCCATAAGTTAATATCAAAATTCATTTTAAAGTTGCATCACTCGAAGCACGAGCGCACGCCTGCACTTTACGCACGCGCTGGAAAGAGCCTGTGGTGAAATTCAGCCTAAAAAAAGTTTGAAAGGAGCAGTGTTTATAAAAGGTAGGCTAGTTTCTCTCACAGACAGGGAGGGGATTAGAGGGAGGGAGTCAAGGGGGAGACACTGTGGCGAGACAGTTGGCTCCTGACATTGTCGTTAGGGTTGTGGTCAGTTGTCAAGTGTCCATGTAGTATGAACTTCACGCCAAACTCCATTCAATCATCTGCCAATTTAATGTGGCTTTACTTACTGCAAAAAATGTATCCCTGATAAATGTGAAGCAAGACCTTTTGATACTTTTGTTCTCAGGAGTTCAGACCTTGACCTTTTTCATGAGCTAAGCATTCCATGTAGCACTTAAATTGATTAAACAGAAACTTTAAGGCGTAGTTCAGGCAGCTCATTGCTGCTACCTACCACAGTGGAATTTGGTGGAATGATCATAGGATTAACAGGAGAGCTACATGAACTTGCAGTACTCACTTGACCGAATGGATGGAACATACAACAGAGCAAGAGTCCTCTTTACCTTCACTGACTCCCAATGTGAAAACTAATGCTTTCTTTCTTTTACGGTGTTAAAGTTGTCATCATCTTTCTTGTATCTTGACAAACAAGTCTGTTTGTCATTACCTCATAATTGCTAGACAACAGATCCGGATGTATCAACAAAACCTATTATTAAACCTTCTTAACCTATTAACACATGCTTCAGTGAAACATAAAATATGGCATGAGTAAGAATCATATAAATTACTGTAAGTAACGCTAAGAAACTCTGCTGGAGCCATTCTCTGTACTCTGCACTCTGTACACCTTTATCTGACCTATAGGGTATGAACATGGGGCTTCTGTCCTAGCACCCAGAGCAGGAGACAGGAAAACCTACCTTAGTCAGTCTGACCACCCTTTTGGTCTTTAGTTAGACTTCTAGGCTCACTTAAATGCTAATGAGATTAAACAAATTGAATTTATGTATATGTCCAGTGGTAAGGGTCTTTTATTTTCTTTAATCGAGTCATAGTCCATCCACCTCTATGGGTCTATTCATAAAAGTTATTGAAAGCATTGCTATTCATGCACTTAGCTTATTTTCTATCAGATTACACAGCTCAATTTAAGATGCCAGTGCCAAGTCACATATTACACAGTTCATCGTTGAGGTAACGCCACACTGCAACCAGAGGTTTGCTAACATGATCCTAGAATGACAACACAAAGGCTCCATATCTCCAATGTCTCTTGCTTGCGGCAGTGCATGGAGTCCTACAATAACAGGACCTCTGCTAGCAGCTGCTGGGTATCAGGTAGCCCGGCGGTGCTTCTCTGCCCAGCACTTGGTGAGGTTCTGACAGACATCCATTGTGTACAGGGGTTGTAATCTTGTCTTAGCAGCACATGAGAAAGTAGCAGATCATGTTTTGGTTTGGGATTTGGGTGAGGGTTTAAACAGTGTGAGTTCAAAACATATAATATGCAGGTATGTAATAGATGGTTAACCCAGCAAGTTTACCCTGTTTTCCGAGGTCCATTCATAGGAAGGAGGACAGCACGTTTTAGGGGAAAAGCCATTACTTAAGGCCTCAGTCTCTTTTTTTGGTTTATATTAGTGATAGTAGATACATTGTAATGTAATGCAATGAAATAAAGCTACATTGTACTCACTGCATATTAATAACCACCAACCAACCAGTGCTATTTAGTCTTGGCAATGATGATTACCTTGGTGTTACTTTTGAAGCAGATAATCACTACCCACTACCATGTTTTGAGGGCAAAAATGTGTTAAATTGTTTATTGCCACTTATTTTATTACATTTAGCAGCTTTCCTCAGAGAAACCCTGAGTTGATGAGCAATTAATTGGGGTGTTAGTGATGTGGGCAGAATGGGTGCATGATGTCACTGTTCTGGCCCAGTTGATCCTGCTTTAGAGTCAGGGGGTTGCTTTCCTTCTCCGTCTCTCCACCTTGTTCAAAACTCCCATTTGCCTCAATGATGATTGAAGTTTAAAAGGTTTTGTCTGTCAGACGTTAGCCCCTTCTTTTTGGTGGCAGGGGGAAGACAGATCCCAGGAGTGGAGAGGAGAGATGAGGAGAAATTAGTTTGTAATCTCTCTCTCCTTCCCTCCAAAGCTGGCCTGTCAGTAAGCTGGCATGCAGGAACAGAGACTTTAATTTCGGGCGGACTAATCATAGCCCTCCCAGCCTTCTCCCTGTGTCAATATCCATCTGGAAAAACAGTGGAAGAAGGATGAGGATATCAGGCCAAGCTAGAGCACAATCCAGGAGACCTTGACTTATGCCAAATAGCACAGTTTCATATGGCTTAAATGAACTGGCAACCAGCCTACTGATATAACATCATCAACCAAGCATTAACATTTGGACTCCTGCCTCAAAATGTAAAACTAACAGTTGAAATAGTGCTATTTAGTCTTGGCATTGATGGTTACCTTGGTAATTTGGGTCCATTAGGAGAGGATCGCTTCTGATGAGCCTCACCAGGCGTTTTTAATAGGCTTATTGTTGTAATAGGATGAGCCTGTTAGCTTGTTATGCTGTCTGTCTTGGACAAAGCTTTTAGGATTACAAGACCAAAGCTGCGTTGGTGGCGTGCCATGATGGGGGGTGTGGCATAGCTAATTTAGTGGAGGTGATGTAGAGTGTGTGGGGGTTCACATAGCATGAGGTCTGGCAGATTAAGGGAGGTTCTCCAGTCGAGACAACAACCACAACAAAGGAATGGCTGAGGAATAGATTTGGAGAAATGGATGCACTCGTGAGCACATGATGTGTTGGCATGTGTAATTTCCATGTGTTTATGTGAGTGTTATGCCGAGTTCTGACTTGTGTTTGCCTCTGCTTGTCTAGTTACCGGGGGGGTGTACAAGGCGGTCTGGTTCTGGAGGCGGGATGTAATGGTTGACAGTCAGGACAGTTTGAGCATCTAAAGATAGAGGACTACTGGCATAAGACCAGGCAGACCAGTGTGTGCAGCCAGTTGTATTCTATCAGTGTGAAGATTTACACATCCTTGCAGACCTCAGATTCCCATGGGTGTTATACACTTGCATAGGTCGGCGTTCGACACATTGGTTTTACCACAGAGGTTAGCATGAATGGGACTAAGATGAGTATGTAGTGGAGGGTAAACCCACCAGAATCGTATTTGTCTGTTTTGTTTGAGTTTGTAATTGTGATACCTCATAAGACTCTTTTCAGTAAAACACTTAATGTCAAATCTAGCAACCTTTTGGGCATAAATTAGTTTCTTTCTCTTGAATAGAGCCAGCGTCGCTGTGATTTTCTGTGTTGACTTAAATTGACACATTTTTATATGCTAATTATGAGTCAATCATTAACATGAATGCAAATAAACCTGTTTACATGTACATTAGTACCCTGGTTTTGACCCTTATCTTGTTTTTGATTATATTTGGGATATGGTGTATACATGGAACAAGAAATACCTGGGTTTCATATGATCATAACAGTATCCAGGTTTCTGATCACATGTCTGCAGGTGTGTCTTGATTTCTCACCATCTCGGCCACTACGAAAGGAATCGGAAAACTGGATGAGGTGTTTCCTAGTCTCTGTCGTAGTACTCCAGGTAGTTTAACCAGGTTTCTCAAAACTGCGAAAAGTTGTTTACATGTGCAAAACATAACCAGGACTCTCCAAAAACCCAGTCATAACCAGGATACTATTGTGCATGTAAACACACTCAATTAAATCTTTTGGTCTTTATATATAAGTGGCAACAAAAACTGATGTAGCACTGCTAAAGGTTTGTGTCTAAATTAGTGCCATCGTAGTAAGTTAGGAAACTTAAAACGTCCCCGCTGTGTCCTCCTCCTCTCTCATATCTTCTTCAAACCGCTGTCAGCACTGCCCCACCCCCTTTCCTCCTCCCCTTCTTCAGATCAGGGTTTTGCAGATGTGTGTTTGTGGTCGGTGAAACATCTGCTTGTACAGTGAACCACCTGTACTGTTTGATAGCAATCAGCCCCACTCTGTGATGTTCACTTGGCATGTCCAATGGAACGAAGAAAACACACAAACCTCATAATTACAGACTTGAGAAAAGGGGAGAGAGCAAGACAGCTTGTCTTTCATCACAAACTAATGCAGCATTGCCCGTCCTCAGATCTGTTCATAACTCTCCCTCTCTGTTGGTGCTCATCCAAGTCGAGGTTTTACAAACCCTTTATGAAACATTCATGACTGGTAATATTGCACAACTTTCACAGCCTTCACACTAATAGTGCAGAACAAATGAACCAGTACGTAAGGCTTTTCCTATTCAAGGAATAGAATATGTAAGCTAGAGCCCGACCGCAGATGCCGATACCGATATTTGGGAGTTAAAAAATTCCGATATTGATATATCGGCCGATATACATACATATATATATATATGTATATATATATACATTATATATAGGGCTGGGTGATAAAACGATAGCAATAATTATCGCAAACATTAAAAGTGTTCGATAAATGTTCGCTAAAATTAATTTCCACGCTTATAGCACGCCTACAAATGAATCACGAACAGCCAATCATGTCGCAGGAATAGAGGTCTGCAGTGCACAAGTTAGG